TGCAGCCCCAAACCAAACCCAAGTGTTTGTATGTGACTTCCCCCCAGTAACAACAACAAAAATGTGATAAGAAAACAACTGAATTTTTCCCTAAAGCATAAAAGTTCAAAACACCCAAGATTTCTTCAAGATACAGGGAGAGTGACAAGCCCCTGCAAAGCCTCCTGATTATCCAGCTCATAAGCCAGGGCCGGTCATGGGAGATGCCAGCATGTCACCCTGGCCTGCTTGCTTTCAGGTGAACGGTTTTGGGCCACATCATAGGACCCCAGTGTCTTTGGCGCAAGCAGGATCAAAGTTGGGCTCCCATGTCTGTCCTGCCTGGCTGTGTGCACTGGGGTGAGTGAGTCCCTTTCAGCAGGGATTGGTTCATCAGCAGCCTACCCCGTTTCTTCCACAGGCCGGGTGATTGGGTGAAATAAGGTCACATCCACAGGGCCCCTGTAGGGGGTGCTCAGCCTAGAGCCCCCACTTAGCAGGTGCTGGGTTTTGTCACCTCCTGCTTGGGACACTCACCTGAGCGATGAAGGGGGTGATGAGGGCCCCCACTCTTGCCATTCCACTGCAGGTGCCCAGGCCCAGTGCCCGCGTTGCTGTGGGGTACACCTGAAACACAGCCGCCAAGTGGGTTGGGAAGGGCCAGGTCCCACCCTTGTCCCCACCAGGGGTGGGGGGGACTGACCCCAAGCGGGTGTTAGTCTGAGACCCCGGGGTGTTCGTGCCCTCAGGGGCGGGGGATGGCATGGGGTGCGGGGGGGTTAGGAAGTTTAAATGGGAAAAGGGCAAGAGGCTGAGTGGTGGGTGGGAAACTGGGGAGGGGTCCACCCTGTCCTGGGTTGTCCCCTGAAGACTCCAGGGGACAGTCAGGACGCAGACACTTACGTGCCAGCTTCTCGGCAGGTCATGGACTTCAGTTTTGGTTTGGGGGCCACACCCGGCAATGCTCAGGGGTTCCTCCTGGCTCTGCACTCAGGAATCACTCCTGGCGGTGCTCAGGGGACCGCCATTTGGGATGGGCATTTGGGATGCCGGGGATCAAACCCTGGCCAGCTGCACATAAGGTAAACGCCCTCCCCGCTATATGATCACTCCGGCCCCCAGTCATGAAGTTTTCAAAGCTTTCATGGAGAGACTGGCTGGCCGGAGAGAGAGTCTGGGGGAAGGCACATGACTTGCATGTGACCGATTTACCATAGCTCAACCCCTGGCGAAACATATGGTCCCCAAACACTGCCAGGGGTCATTCCAGAGCACAGAGCTAGAAATAGCCCCTGACCACTACCCTCTGTCAATTTTTAATTTCCCTAAGCTCTGACCCATGCCTCTGCCCAGCTATCAACCTTCGCACTTGTTCTCTTACCCAATTAAACATGCTCATGAACATTTATTAGTACAGACTTCAAGAAAACTCCAGAAGAATGCTCTGTGAATATAATGATTCAAGAAGGTCATCTTGGACCAGCCGAGATTGCAGAGGGCATCAAGGCACCTGCCTGGCATATGGCCAACCCACTGGAGTCTCTGGCACCACAAACGGTCCCCCAAGCAATGCCAGGGGTCACTCCTGAGCACAGAGCCAGGAATAGCCCTTGAGTACGGTAGGGTAAGACTACTTCCCCCAAACCCTACAGAATCCCCTAAAAACCCACATCAAGGTCTTCTCTAGAAGAGGCATGTGGAGAAACCTTTCCTTTTTTTTTAAATTTTTTTTGGGGTCACACCCAGTGAGGTTCAGGGGTTACTCCTGGCTCTACACTCAGGAATGACTCCTGGTGGTGCTCAGGGGACCCTATGGGATGCCGGGGATCAAACCCAGGTTGGCCGCGTGCAAGGCAAACGTCCTCCCTGCTGTGCTGTCGCTCCAGCCCCAACCTTTCCTTTTTGATCGGAAACTGCCCCATCCTCCTGGAATTGACCCACTGAGTCAATTGAACTCCTTTAGGAGGAAAAGAGGCTGCCAGCAAGTCAACCAAAGGAGTGGGGACAAAGTTCAGGTGGGGCCCAGCGGCCAGAGCTCCCCCCTCCAGCCCCAGCACCCCCCCAGCACCCCTTCCCCCATGGCTCCTACCTCAGGTGTGTAAACATAGGCTGCCTGGAAGCCTCCAGAAATAAACGCTCTTGCAATGAAGAGTAACAGAGTGAGCATGTTTCTGGAGGAGAGACAGGAGAAAGCATGAGTGTGTCGAATCTCTCGGCTCGCACCAGCCCATTCCCGTCTGTCCCGAAGAAGCTCCCGCTCTGACACCGGCAAGCTCAGCCCTGCCTGCACAGCTCTGGGCAGTGGGAGGGTCAGGGCACCAATGTGGCCAGGGCACCAGCACCCTCTGCAGCAAGCACACCATGTACCAGCACCCTCTACAGTGGGCAGGATAGGGCACCAGCACTCCACTCCCTGCAGTGGGCTGGCTGGGGCACCAGCTCTCCCTGCAGCTGGCAGACCAGGGTAGCAGTGCCCTCTGCAGTGGGCGGGCCAGGGCACCAGCACCCTCTACAGAGGCCCCCTCAGGTCTTCCTCATCCTCCAGGGTCCTGGCTGAGAGGCAGAAATGCCCCAGGAGCTCAGGTGGACAGCAAGGCTGGGCAGAAGAGATAGAAGTGGGCTGAAGCAATAGCACAGCAGGTAGGCATTTGCCTTGCACTCAGCCGACCCGGGTTCGATTCCCAGCATCCCATATGGTCCCCCGAGCACCACCAGGAGTAATTCCTGAGTGCAGAGCCAGGAGGAACCCCTGGGCATCGCTGGGTGTGACCCAAAAATCAAAAACAAACGAAAAAACAAACAGACGGGATAGAAGTAACCCAAGGCTCAGATAGGAACTTGTGAAGGCGGGGATTTGGGGAGGGGGCAGCTAACCACGCAGGGATCATCCTAGTGGGGTCCCGGGGACCATATGTAGTGTTGGGGATTGAGCCTGGGTCAGCCATCTGCAAGGTACGTACCCCTCCACCCCCCTATCCTATCTCTCAGGCCCCTAAAGAGGAATTCTGATTTTTTTGTCTTTGTTTTGGTGGGGGGCTACACCTGGTGATGCTCAGGGTTTACTCTTGGCTCTGCACTCAGAAATTATTCCTGGGGGTCAGAGCCATAGTACAGTGGGTAGGGCGTTTGCCTTGCATGCAGCCAACCTGAGTTCGGTCCCTGGCATCCCGTATGGTGCCCCAAGCATCGCCAGGAGTAATTCCTGAGTGCAGAGTCAGAAGGAAGCCCTGAGCATTGCTGGGTGTGACCCAAAAAGCAAAACCAAACAAACAACCCCCCCCCAAAAAAAAAAAACAGAAAAGAATTACTCCTGGTGGAGACCATCTGGGATTCTGGGATGCTGGAGATGGAACCCAGTTGGCCATATGCAAGGCAGATGCCCTCCCTGCTGTATTACTGCTCTGACCCTAAAGAGAAATCCTGGATTCAAAGAACGAGCTGCCTCCAGCCTGGGTTCCCACCCATGTTCCCCAACATCAGTGTTTCCCGAGAGGCACCTCCAGACCTCCCCCCAGAGCCTCCCCCAGGTTCGTGTTGGGGCTTCGTGAGGTCCAGAGAGTCGCGGGCTGCTTTGGCCCTGCGGAGGCTCTTGGTTGTGGGGAAACGAAGCCACATCTAGAGCAAGGCATGGTTAGAGCGATTTCCTGCAAATACAGGAAAACATTTTCACCCAAACCAAAATTCTACATCACCCGGGAAAGACCTGGGAGATGACGCCATGTCAAAATCTGTTGCAGTTAAAGCAGACCCTCAACCAAAGGGTCCCCTGCTCGCTCCCCACCCCTACCAGGGGCCCCAATTTTTTCTTTTTGGGTCACACCCGGCAATGCACAGGGGTTATTCCTGGCTTTGCACTCAGGAGTTACTCCTGGCGATGCTTGGGGAACCACACGGGATGCCAGTACACCCCACCTGCTGTACTGTCGCTCCAGCCCCAGGGGCCCCGATTCTAAGCCTCGTTTATTCACCTTTGATCCCGGGGAGGGGCTGCTGGGATCCCGGAATGAGCCCTCAGGGCAGAGGTTAAGCCACAGCCCACGGGACCCCCCCACAGAGACACCCGCCAGGACCTTCTGGTGAGAGAAAGCGAATTTGCCCGCGCACCTTCCAACACAGACGAACAGCAGGAGGCTGCAGAGGGAGAAGACGACGAAGCAGAGGGCCATGGTCTTCTTCCGGCCCAGGCGGTCAATGATCCACAGGGTGACCAGGACACCTGCGCGGACAGAGGCACCCTGGGTCTCACCTGCCCGATTCACACCCTCAGAGTCCCCTCTGGAGTGGTACGGCCCAGTGGCTCCCTTCCGGTGGCAAGTTCCCCTCCCTTTTCCCTCCTCCCCCTCCCTCCATCCCTCCTTCCCACCCTCCTTCACTCCCTGCCCTCCCTCCTTCTCTCCTTCCCTTCCTCCATCCCTACTTCCTTCTTTTCCCTTATTCCTCCTTCCTCCTTTCCTTCGTTCCTCCCTCTTCCTTCTCTCCTTCCTTTATTTTCTTCCCTCCTTCCTTCCCTGCCCCATTTCTCCTTCCTCCCTCCTCCCTCTCTCCCTTCCTGCCCTTCCTCTATTTCTGGGTCCATCCTGTGGCGCTTGGGGCTATTTCTGGCTCAGGAGTGGCCCCCAGCAGTGCTCCGAGAACCATCCCTGCTGGCGGTGCTGGCTGCATTGCCAAGCTGACGCCTTGACCCCTGCGCTATCTCGGACTCCTCAGGGCGAGCTTCCAAACACTGTCAGCCCAGCCTTGCCTCTCTCTGTCCCTGGCCCCACGCACATGCTCAGCTGACCAAAGGGGGCCCTTCTGTGAGGAGCAGCAGCCGGGGTGGGACTAACCCCCCCCACCACCCCCAACTTCAACAACAAAATTCCCCGCAAGCTTCCTGCCCAGGAACCAGGATTTGGCCGGAAACACAGTCTCGGCCCCAGCCTGTCCAGAGGCTCAAAATGGGGCCACTCAAAGCACGAGCCTTCAAATGCGGGGGACGCCCTCGCCACCTCCTTTCTCAGTCTGACCGACTGCAGCTAGGGCGGAGACGCTGAGCCCAGAGTCCCTCGGGAAGAGCTCTGCCGGGGGGCACCCGGCTGGAGGCAGCAGCTGGACAGCTTCCGGGTGGCCGGCCTGGCGGCCCCTCACCTGGGAACTCGGACAGCGTCGTCCACAAGAGGTCCATGTAGTCCTCCTCGCTCAGGTACTCACAGGCCAGGCTGCACTTGGCCTCCACGGCCTTCTTCCGGCTGGAGACTGGGGTGCGGAGAGGGGGAAAGAGAGGAGGGGCGGGGCTGGAGCACAGCACAGCAGGGAGGGCGTTGGCCGACCCGGGTTCGATCCCCAGCATCCCATAGGGTCCCCCGAGCACCGCCAGGAGGAATTCCTGAGTGCAGAGCCGGGAGGAACCCCTGAGCTTTGCCGGGTGTGAGCCAAAAAGAAAAGGAAAGAAAGAAGCAAGCACAAAGTGACTCCCACCCGCTGTGCCGCCTCCTTCCTGGCGTGAGACCCCCTGCTGGTGCTCAGGGGTGCCAAGTGGTGCCAGAGCTCACACTGGCGCAGCAAGTGCTCTGCCCCTGAGCTACATCCAGCCTTTGTGCTTGTTACTTGCTTCCTCTGCTTCAGCGGCTGCCACCTCTGGCTGCCCCCCCCCCCCAGGAGGAGCACTGGGGGAGCTTCCCTTTGCCCTGAACCATGCCCACTTCCACCCCAGGGGTTCAGATAGGTCTGGGTGACCAGCATGGCTTCTGAAGTGCTTCCCCGGGGATTCCAACTGTACGGTGGGTCAGGGTTGGGCGCTGACCCGGATTCTCACAACTGATGTGCAACAGGGCCCCTGTCCTCGTGCCAGCACTGCCCAGCCTGGCAAGCTACAGGGTCCTGGAGATGGAACTTACTCTGTTTCCTGTCCACTTAAAAAAATTTATTTTTTTATTCTTTTGCTTTTTGGGTCTGTGACAATTGTTACTGTGTCTGGCATATCGAATACTCTCAGTAGCTTGCCGGGCTCTCCGAGAGGGGCAGAGGAATCGAACTCGGGTCAGCCATGTTGGACACTTGCAAGGCAAACGCCCTACCCGCTGTGCTATCGCTCCAGCCCTAGAGACAGGAGAGTCAGGGGGGCCATCTGCTAGACAGCGTCCCTGTCCCTTGGCCCCCATGATGGTCCAGCCAGGCGGGCGCTTTTTGGGTCACACCCGGCGATGCACAGGGGTTCCTCCTGGCCCGCCAACACACTCAGGAATCACTCCTGGCGGTGAGCGGGGGACCCTATGGGATGCTGGGAACCGAACCCAGGCTGGCCGCATGCAAGGTAAAAGCCCTCCCTGCTGTGTTATCGCTCCAGCCCCGTCTGTCCATTTTTCGCTTTGCTTTGTTTTGTTTGGGGACCACACCTGAGATGCTTACGGTTTACTCCTGTCTCTGCACTCAGGGATCATTCCTGGCCATAGGGGGTGCCGGGGAGCAAATCTGGGTTGGCCACATGCAAGGCAAGAGCCCTGCCCACTGAACTATCTTTCCGGCCCCTGTAATCTCAGTTCCATCCCTGTGAGGTTCTCCCGGCTCCGACCACTCAGAGATCTGCTTAGATCCTGCAGATACCACTGCCCCGGGGTTTGGGGATCGGGTCACTGGCATATGGGTGAGAGCAGGCTGGACACAAGATCCGGGGTGACCGGGTGAGGCGGACAGGGTTGGGATGGAGGTTGGGTTGGTGTGAAGGAGGTGCGGTACTCACTGCTGCAGACGTCTCCGGCCTGGAAGAGCTCGGTGGTGAGCAGAACTAATCCGTAGTAAGAAAAGGCATTGGAGAACCTGTGGAGAGGGACGAGGCCGGTGTCCTTACTCGGGAGGAAGCACAAGGATCAAGGGCCAGGAGGGAGACGCAAAGTCCCTCAGACATTGGTCGGGGAAGGCCTGGAGTCTGGTGGGAAGGGGATCACCCTGGACCCTGGAACTGGGCCAAAGCACAGCGATGTGGCAGAGAGAAGGGCCCTCCTGCCACCTCAGAGGCTGAGAATGAACTTCCTGGGAGAGCTGGCCTCTCGGCGTGCAATCTGTTCAGCCGGGATGGTAGGAAGTGCCACCTGCCCGCCAAGGACAAGAGCTCTGAAAGTTTTCACTGTTTCTTTGGTGAAGATTGTCTGTGCTGAGAAAGAAGAGCTCACCTCTCTGGGGGCATATAAACTGGAGGGCCAGTGAAGAGGCTCATGGGAAGACTCTCTCTCTCTCTCTCTCTCTCTCTCTCTGTTATCCCTCTTCTGAGCAGCCTTAAACTTTTTTTTTTTTGCTTTTTGGGTCACACCTGGCAATGCACAGGAGTTCCTCCTGGCTCTGCGCTCAGGAATTACCCCTGGCGGTGCTCAGGGGACCATATGGGATGCTGGGAGTCGAACCCAGGTCGGCCGCATACAAGGCAAACGCCCTACCCGCTGTGCTATTGCTCCAGCCCCGGCAGCCTTAAACTTTGAGCTCTGGGGGAAGTGCTCTTTTTATGCACACAGTGATGATGTTTTGCCTTAGTGAGCTACATAATTGCATGACACCCTGCTATTAAAGAGAGAGGGAGAAGGAGAGAGAGGGAGAGGGGTGGGGGGCGGGAGGGAACCTTCCATTTGCAAGAACACAGATGGATCTATAGGATGTATATATATATATATCATGCTTAGAGATGTGCGTCAGACAAAGACATCCCAAGGGGGTCCCAGGGCTCTCCGCGATCAGCTCTTACCATATAAACCACAGCAACAGGGTTGTCCACCGAAAATGGGGCGTGAAAAGGTCCCGCATTTTGCCTCGGTCTTCCTGTTTCAAGACAAGGAGATGCCATTTATTCACTCTCCTCCCGTGGTGGCGCCTGCTGGGGGCTGAGCCTGGCCAGGAGGGGCTGCGGCCCCCCAGAACCCAGGACTCAATGCCACAGCACTGAGCTCGCAGCCCGGAGGCTGGCTGCGCCCCTCCCGTTCCTTGTCTTCCTAGTCAGAGACCCGAACCCCACACGGGATCCTGGAGCTGGAGGCCGTTGCTCTCACACGTGTCCTTCCTGCCCTCTGGGTGTCGGGGGACTGCTTGGGCTCAGGGAGTCAACCCAGCCTGCTGGTGTCTCACTGTCTCATACGCCCCCACCCCCAAACCGACTCTAGCGCGAGGCCATGAGTAGTAAGTAACCCGGGTGCCAAAAATCGACCCACTATAAGTCAAGAATCCTTAGTACGAGTTGGGGGCTAGAGTGATAGCACAGCGGGGAGGGCGTTTGCCTTGCACGCTGCCGACCTGGGTTCAAATCCCGGCAACCCAGAGGGTTCCCCAAGCACCGCCAGGAGTAATTCCTGAGTGCATGAGCCAGGAGGAACCCCCAAGCATTGCCAGGTGTGATCCAACACACACACACACACACACACACACACACACACACACACACACACAAAGAATCCTTAACACGAACCTCTTGGGATCCCTCCCGCCCTGCTCACCCAGCACCCCCATGTGTGGACGACGTGGTTTTCCTCCCCTGCCTGTCCATTCCCACCCCCCCCCCCACCGGCCCCGGCCGTGTTGGCAACAGTGCCAGGCAACTTTCCCAGGAGGGGCAAATTCGAGTTCTTTCTGCATAATATGGCGACAGCCAGAAACAGGCTTCTGTTGGGAAAGATCCGATCTCTGAACCGCAGAGGTTGGATGCTCCTCGGGGGTGGGGCGGGAGGGAGGAGGACAGGCGGCCTCGAGCACGCGACTCCCTTTGCCCCTGGAGCCGGGACACTGAGCCTTGTGTTCGGTTAAGTGCTTGTTCTGCCCTGGGGGGTGGGGCAGGTTCCAGTAGGGGTGCCAACACACCCTTAAGGCCTGGCACCCTGGAACCTCCGAATGTGCCTGGGTTGCCCAGCCTCTGCCCAGCAATCACAGTGGCGGCGGCGGCAGGCGCCAAACATTCCGTCTTCCTTCCCACCGGCGGAAAGACTGTCCAGGTGAACTAGACAGGGGAGTAGCCCCATCTCAAGGGTCCCACCAGCCTACTGAGCCTGCACCGGAGGGGGCAGAGACGTGTCCATCAGGCATGTGCACGTGCCCACCCTGCCGGCGCTGACCTGTCTGGAGATGATGAGCTTGCCCAGCGGCATGGGGGCACCGTTCTCCGTCGCTATCCTTTTTAAGGTGGCGATGGCCTTCTCTTGGTTCCCGGACAGCACGTCGTACCTCGCACTCTCGGGCAGCCACTGTGAGGACAGGAGAACAGGTGTGGGCCGGGCAGGCTGGGACCGGACGGACAGTGGCCAGGAGGAAGCCCTGAGCGCCAGGTGCGGTCCTAAATTCCTCCCTCCCCCAAATACGCCACCAAGGTTTGATTTTATTTTTATTTTTTAAAACAGTTTTTAGGTGCTGGAGTGATAGTACAGCAGGTAGGGCGTTTGCCTTGCACGCCGCCGACCCAGGTTCGATTCTCAGCAACCCATATGGTCCCCCGGGCACTGCCAGGACTAATTCCTGAGAGCAAAACCCAGGAATAACCCCTGTGCATTGCCGGGTGTGACCCAAAAACAAAAACAAAAAGTTTTTAAAATGAATCAGCATGAGATACAGTTACAGATTTACAAACTTTCATGATTATGTTTCAGTCATACAATGACCGAGTACCCATCCCTCCACCAGTGCCCATTCTCCACCACCAATGTCCTTCCTGTCACGCCCCCCCCCCACCCCTGCCTCTATGGCAGGCACATTCCGTTTTTACTCTCTCTCTCCTTTGGGGTGTTATGGTTTGCAATACAAGTATTAAGTGGCCATCATGTTCAGTCCATAGTCTGTTTTTAGCACACATCTCCCACCCCGGGCGAGCCCTCCAAGCATCATCCACTTAGTGGTCCCTTCTCTGTCCCAGCTGCCTTTTCCTCTGGCACTTGAGGCCGGCTTCCAAGTTGTGGAACCATCCTCCTGACTCTCATCTCTGACCACCAAGGTTTTAAAAGACGGTTCTGGGGGTCGTCCCCCTACCCGTCCCCCTACCCCTACGCCCCCTGCCTCCCCCCCACCCCGAGTACAGTGGACGGCTGAGGAGCCCGGGCCGAAAGCTCCGGGGATACCTACGAAGCACAGGACCGCGAAAAGGAGGAGCGGGAGAGCCGAGAGGAGCAGTAGCCACCGCCAGCCCAGGCTGGGCATCACAAACACGGCCAGGACCACCTCGAACACCGTCCCGAGCGCCCAGAACACCTGGCACGGAGAAGGGGGCTGAGTGGCGGTGACGGCAGGGCCGCCGCAGAGAGGGGACACAGCCATGTGTGGACAGGGTTCGGGCTCAGCTGGGCCGGACGGGCCTCATTTCCCAGCGTCCCCCCTGCCTTGGGGTCCACCTCCCAAGGGCGTCCTCCGTGGTGGTCCCTGAAACTATGCCAGGTGGCAGCTCCGGTGACGGGGATCTCTGTGTCCCCGGGGGAGGCCGTTGGCCGTGCACTTCTTGCTCTGAGGTCTTCCGGGTCTTTGGGGGGGACCCCGGCTGGCTCCCCTCCAGGATGCTTAGGAGGGGGATGACTTGACATCGACTGGCTGGGCCGAGAAGAGGGCCGAGAGACCTGACCCAGAACCCAGGTGTGTGGGGGTACAGGCAGGGGCGACCGTGTTCCGAATCTCCCCCTCTGGAGAGGACTGTCCCCGCCTGCTCTTGTGAGGGTTAGGAATGGGGGGAAGGTGCCCGTGAAGAGGAGCGAACCCACACTGCAGGGACGGCCTGACCAAGGCGGCCGCTCATGCCCGTCTCTGCTGTTGGCTTCAGAGCCCCTTTCCCTCCCCCGCGGCTCCAGCCCCCTAGAACCGCCCCAGACCGCGTGTGCGCAGAGCCCCTGGCCTGCTCCTTACCTCGATCAGCAAAATGCACTTAGCGCGGGCTTTCATGGGCAGGAACTCGGCGTACAGCGTCACCCTGGGAAGACAGGGGCGGGTGAGGCGCAGGATGGCGCGGGGAGATCTGACCTCAGCAGGGAGCGGCCAAGACCACCAGGCCTCCGAGTATGGCCCGTGGACACTCACCTCAGAGCCCCAGGCCCCCTGCAGACCTTCAGACACAAACCTCGGCGGCGAGGCCTGAGGATTCTGGAGTCGGCTTTTTTGTTGGTTTGTTTGGGAGCCGCAACTAACAGTGCTCAGGACTTACTCCTGGCTCTGTGCTCAGGATCACTCCCGAGAAGTTTGGGGGATCATATGGGGTGCAAGGGATTGAACTGAGCTTGGCCACATGCAAGGCAAACGCCCTCCCGCTGTTCTATCGCTCCGGCCCTGTCTGCCATCACTTTTTTTTTTCTTTTTGGGTCACACCCGGCGATGCTCAGGGGTTACTCCTGGTTCATGCACTCAGGAATTGCTCCTGGCGGTGCTCAGGGGGCCCTATGGGATGCTGGGAATCGAACCTGGGTCGGCTGCGTGCAAGGCAAACGCCCTACCCGCTGTGCTATTGCTCCAGCCCCTGCCATCACTTTTTTTGAAATAATTTTTTTTACTTTATAAAGTAGTTCACAATATTTCATTATGTTTAATATTCAAACATCAATCCCACCACCATATTTCAGATGTTTTTCCCTCCCGAACCCCAATTCTTGCCCCAAAGCAGAACCGAAATAATCTATTTTGTATTTGCTTGTTATGAAAAGCCGGTGAAAATGCTTCCAAAAAAAAAGCATCCTTAAGAGGAAAGAGTGTGGAGATTGTCCCTGGGTGAAATGTGAAATACAGCAGTCTTTCTGCCATCTTTTTCACTCACCTCTCCCAAGCGGTTCTCACATGGAGCCAGGGCTGTCACCCCACAGAAAAGGGAGGAGAAGGGGGGGGAGGGCAGGAACTGGTCCTACACCTTCCTGGCCCCCAGGGGGGCGCCCGCGTCCTGGGGGCAGTGCTATCTCCTTGGGATCAGATGCACGCCAGGGGCTAACTCAAATTCAGGGCTCCTCCTCAGCCCCCCCACTTCCTGCTTTCTGGCCCAATATCCCCCCCTCGGAGGGGAGTGGGTTGAGTTTTCCTCCCTGCCCTGACGAGGGCTCCCGCAGCCGAAGACCTCCAGAACCAGCCACCACCATGCTGAGACCACTCTTTGCACACATGAAGGTACCGGCAGAGGAACAAAGGCACGCGGGTCCGGGGGCTGAGATCTCCAAGCCTACTCGGGTCGGGGCTGAGCATCCTCCACCCAGATCCTCCAAGTTCCAGTAGGCGGGGGTCACACCCACCAACTGGCCCCCTGGCACTGTGTAATCCCATCAACGGCCAAGACTCAGAGACTATAAAACTCAGCTCCCGGAAGCGCGCGGCTGCATTTGCGGCCGTGTGACATCTTATCATCTCATTCCTACTTTGGACAAACTTGCAGGCTATCGAATGTAACCTGCCCACACGGCAGAGTCTGGCAAACTCCCCGTGGCGTGCCCAATATGCCAAATACCAGTAACAATGATGGGTCTCATTCTCCTAAAGAGCCTTGAATATGACACTTTCTTAAAAATCTCAGGGCTAGGACGAAGGAGACGTTACAGGGGCCTGCTCGAGGCAATCGACGAATAACAGGATGGTTGTGATTGAGATTGTGATTGATCCCCCCCCCCAAGTTCACGCCTATGTATGTCTTCCCAGAGTCTAGTGTCGGGGGTAGGACATTCGCCTCCCTAACCCTGGGGACACAGACCTTCGTCACCAGGGCCATGTAGCACCTGGCAGATCTCTCCACGCCAGAGCTAGCTTCCTTCTGCTTGTGATGAATTAGTTCTTGGTGTGTGTCGGGGGAAAGCCTACAGAGGTCATGCCAATGTCCTGTGCCCACAGAACCTCATCCCAGCACTTCTATACCCTGTTCATCCACTCTTTCTGCCCAGATCAAGCACCAATGCCAATGGCAGAAGGTGGTATCTTAAATTTCTGCAATTCCTTCTGAGTTCATAGTGTACAGTATTCGGGGGGCACAGTGATAGTACAGCGGGCAGGACGCTTGCCTAGCACATGACTGACGTGGGCTTGCTCCCTGGCACCCTAGACGTACTGGTCCCCCAAGCATTACAAGGAGTGGTCCCTGAACACAGGGCCAGGATAGGTCCTGAACACTGCCACGTGTGGTCTTCAAACAAGCAACCCTCCCTCCCCAACACCCCCCAAATAATATAGTGTACAGTGTTATATTGTGTAGACAACTATATTATGGGCAGTAGACATTCTGTACGAGGAAGAAATCTCTCTTCTCCCCCATACACACCTCTCTAGCCACCAATCCTTGCAACCATCCACTCAACTACTGGTCATTTCTTGCGTCCATCATCCCTCCATCCAACCCTCCATTCCTCCAACCCTCCATCTATCCCTCCATCCACCCTGATCCCTCCATTCATATCTCTCCATCCCTCTATCCCTCCCTCCATCCCTCCATCCATCCCTTCCTCCATCCCTCGATCCCTCCCTCCGTCCTTCCCTCCATCCGTCCACCCCTCCCTCCACTCACGAAATCACTTGTGAATCCCTAACTTGTCCACTGGATTGTAAGTTCTCACTCCCATTGTCCTTTTGATGCTCAGCTGTCTTGGATCTAATCAGTAAAGATCTTTAAATTTCACTGTTGTTCTTTTAAATTTCACCACATGTTGTGGTGCTTGGGACTTGCTCCTAACAGTGCCAGGAAGACCACACAGTGCCGGGGCCAAACCCAGCGCTTTGATCGATCTTGCTGGCCCTTAAGCTTATTTTTGTGTCTTTTGTCTGGGGGGGAAGGGAGAGAAACATGTCTTTGTGATAGAGTATTTTCTTTGCCTGTATTTTGAGCCACACCCAGCTATGCTGGGGCTTACTCCTGGCTCTGCACTCAGGGGTCACTCCCGGTAGGGCTCAGGGGACCATATGGGGTGTCGGGGATCAAAGCCGGTTCAGCCACATGCCAGGCAAGCACCCTACCCTCTGGACTATCACTCTGATCCCTGAACTCTTTTATTTTCTGGCACAACAAAATATCCATGTTCATCTTATCCATCTTATCATCTTGTCCTCGCCGGGGCCCCTTGGAGAGGGGCGGGTTGAGTTTCCCTCCCCACCCCAAGCAGAGCTCCGGCAGCCAAAGACCTCCAGAACCAGCCACCACCATGCTGAGACCACTCTCCACATGCATTAAAGTACCGGCAGAGGAACAGAAGCATGAAGGTCCCGGGGGCTGAGATCTCCAAGCCTACTCGGATCGGGGCTGAGCATCCTCCACCCAGATCCTCCAAATTCCAGTAGGCCGGGGTCACACCCACCAACTGGCCGCCTGGCGCCGTGTAATCCCATCAACGGCCAAGACTCAGAGACTATAAAACCCAGCTCCCAGAACCACGGGCCGCATTCACGGCCACACAACATCTTATTATCTCATTCCTACTTTGGACAAACTTGCAGGCTATCGAATGTAGCCTGCCTACAGGGCAGAGTCTGGCAAACTCCCCGTGGCGTACCCAATATGCCAAATACCAGTAACAATGATGGGTCTCATTCTCCTAACCCTGAAAGAGCCTTGAATACGGCACTTTTTAAAAATATCTCAGGGCTAAGATGAAGGAGACATTACCGGGGCCTGCTCGAGGCAATCGACGAACAACAGGATGATCTTATCCTTTCTGTGACTCAGTCATGAACTCAGCCCTTTTTTCTTGAGAAACTCTGGCTCCTTTTGGCAGAGAGGGACGAGGACAATAAGCTCTGAGTGCTCAGGGGGCTCACTGCTTACACCGAGAAGTGAGTCCAGATGATGTGCTCCGGGTGTGGACACAGGATCGCAGGAGACCCAAGTGGATCTCGCGCCACCTGCCTCTAAAGGGGTCCTGGATGTCAGACTCCCTCCCCTGACCTTCCTTTGCAAGGGCGGGGGCTGTGGCGTCTGCTAGCTCAAATCCCAGACGCAAGAGGGTGATGGTGGAGAAGGGGAGAGGAGTGGTCTCGGCATCCCTGCTCTTCCAGTCCCCCAGAGGTCGGAAGATGAAAGGGGGAAGGGCGGGGAGGAGGAGGGGGACAGGAAGTCACGAGCGACCATGGGCATCCCACAAGTGAACTGACCTTGCAAATAAACGAACCTAGAGGGGCTGGAGAGACAGGACGGGGGTAAAGGCATCTGCTTCGCACGTGGTTGACCCCAGTTCGAGCCCCAGCACCGCACCTGATCCCCCACGCACCCCACTGAGGCACAGAGCCAGGAGTAAGCCTGGAGCACTGCCAGGTACGGTCCAATGACCCTCCTCCATCCTTCCCCCAAACCTCCCCACCGCCCAAAAACCCAATCAAAATAAAACCCAAACTAGGACCTGGATCACTCCATGTTAGAACAAGAATGATAAGCAGAAATTGGGAGGGTTGGTGCCAGAGAGATCCAACCCTTACCTTACAGGGGGGAGGGCGCCTGCCTTGCACGCGGCATACCAGGATCCGGTCCCCGGCATCCCACAATGGTCCCTTGAGCACTGCCAGGAGGAATTCCTGAGTACAGAATCAGGAGTCACCTCTGAGCGTTGCAGGTGCGGCCCCCAAGAATAAAAATAGATAAATGTATATATATTTGCTTTTTGGGTCACACCTGGTGATGCACAGGGGTTCCTCCTGGCTCTGCACTCAGGAGTTACTCCTGGCGGTGCTCAGGGGACCCTATGGGATGCTGGGAATCAAACCCGGGTCGGCCGTGTGCAAGGCAAACGCCCTAACCGCTGTGCTATCTCTCCAGCCCTGAAAAAGATATATATTTTTAAAAACCTTGGGAGAGTTGGCAAAACCCAGAGGTTTGGGCCTGGAGCCAAAGTGCTGCTGTGAACTCACCACTTGTTTATCTATTCATTTTGGTTTGGGGGTCCTGCCCATCAGTTGCTCAGGGACTGACGTTCTGTGCCTGGGAGCAACATGTAGTGACAGAAATCTAGGCCCCCACATCCTAAGCTCAGCCTGTTAAGCTACTGCTCTGGTCCTGAACTCGTTTTTATTTATTATTTTAGTGGGCTTTTTTGAGGGGGCTTTTTGGGGGGGTCACACCCAGCGATGCTCAGGAGTTACTCCTGGATCTGCACTCAGGAGTTACTCCTGGCAGTGCTCGGGGAACCATATGGGATGCTGGGGATTGAACCCGGGCGGGCCCCATGCAAGGCAAACGCCCTCCCCGCTGTACTAAGACTCCGGCCCCCAGTGTTTTTTTTTTTTTTAAAAACACTGTGATTTACAAAGGTTTTCATAAGACAGCTGTTCCCAGTAGTCAAGGTTCCAACCCTAATCCCACCACCAGTGTCCCTTCCTTCCCTCCACCTGTCCCAAGCTCTGCCTCCCTCCCACCAGCCTGATCCCTCAGCGGGCACAAAATAATCTGCTTCACATCGCTTGTGACAACACAATGGTAAGTGGAACGATAAAAAAAAAAATAGATCAATTGAAGTCCATTTGTGACGCCTGTCATATCTCCCAGTTGTGTCCCTTTTGTCCTGGTCTGAGGACTTCCTGAGCCGGTTGGTGCCCATTGCGCTGGGTTGTTGTTTTCGCTCATTGAGCTTGGTGGGCTTCCACACAACTTTGCCATCAAAATTGCTATGCTCCCACTGGGCCGTCAGAACTACGAAATCTGGAGGTTTCCAAGAGCTGGGGGCGGGGGCAGGGGTAGACGCTCTTCCTGCTGGAAGGCTCACCAACCCCCACCCACACCCAACGTCCTCATGCATATAAACAGCCCAGCTCCGCAACTGAACCACTCAACTCCATGCTCAGACACAGACACAGAGCATCTATCTGTAACCTCGCTCCTTTCTGCCCTCCCTCCCTCCCTCCCTCCTCTTTCACGCCTGCCACACATGCTCCCGGGTTCCACCCACAGGATACCCTTCTGCGCAAGCCAGCTGGACTTCCCACTGTTCCCTGGGTGCTTTCTCTGCTCCCTAGAGCCGGCTTTGCCAACCTGGGCTGGCAGACCAGAAGTGCCAGCGAAGTGCCTCTTCCCAGGAGCAGTGCCCAAGCAGGAGTGTTGCACGTCATGAGTGGGGCGATGCGGGGGTAGATTGTGTGTGTGTGTGTGTGTGTGTGTGTGTGTGTGTGTGTGAGCAGTGTCCCAACACATGAACCTACTTGTTCCTAAATCTCTGTGTTGATAAGACAGTAAGATTGCGTCCAGTAGGACGATTTGGAGGCCCAAGAGAGAACACAGCCAACTAGAACACAGGCTTTGCATGCTAGGGCCCCCGGCAGATCTGCCAGCACTTTAGGGGTCTCTGGTATCATGACCAGGAGCGAACCCCCAATCCAAAACCAAAGAGACAGTTTGGAAATATTTCCATATTAATTCAAGGAGAGCCACTACCTTTTTTCTTTTTTTAACACTGCCACCCATTACTTGGTCCTTAATTGCCTTTCATTTCAATATTTTAATTTTTCTGACCTAGGGTCGCAGGAAACAGCTTTTCCTCTCATTGTTGCACTGCGCAGTCCGTCATTATTTATAGTAGTTCATTAGGAAAACAAGCTGTTTGATCTCCCTCCAAAGTGTGGGCTGACTCAAATCGCACAGAAGAAAGGAGCAGGGGATGAAATCAGCCAGGCCACTCGGCAGCTGGTCCTGGCATCAATTAATCCCCGATGCAAATCAACGCATAGGCAGCTCTGGGCAGTCAGAGATCTGACAGTTGGCTCCGACTCCCGGGCAGGAAAGACCTGGCATCCCGACTCAGTCGTCGCTGGGTCTTCGGATGAAAGGTTTGTGGATTAAAGAGCAGACCAACCCTCAACCGAAGGCAGGTCCCCGAGCAAGCTCATTCTCCACACCAACCGAAAGGACCTCTAAGGAAAGCGCTCGCATGGGACGGGTGGGGGCCGGACCTTGGGAAGCAGCTAAGACCTGTGTGGGTGCCCCTCTGCAAAGCCTCTCAGCCGCCCTCCCACCGCGACCGCCAACGGGCTACTTCTGCTGAAGCCCACAGCGCCCTCTGCTGGACATCATAGATGACTCCTGAAGGTAGGTGGTTTTTGGTTTTTTTGTAGGAGTACTGCTATTTATTCAGCCACTGATTAGCTGATTGAATTGGGCATGAACTCCACCTTAATTTTATTTATTTATTTATTTTATTTTTATATTTATTTATTGAATCACTGTGGGAAAAGTTACTAAGCTTTCAGGTTTAAGTCTCGGTCATACCATGATCAAACGCTTTTCCCTTCACCAGAACTCATTCTTCACCACCAAGAACCCCAGTGTACCCCCCCTCCCACCCCTCCAAATGCCTGTGAGGCAGATGATTTCTACTTAACTCTTCTCTACATTGATTACATTCATTATTTCGACAAAAGATGCATTATTGTTTAGAATTTCCCCCCGAAACAATCAGAATTGCTGAAAAGGCATTGTGAAATATTTTGTTTCCTATAGCTGGTTATGAGAATCATATAATTTTGGATTTCTGCAAAGAGCCAGATAATTACGAGATTGGTTTCTGTGTGTCTGGTGTTATGGCCGTGCCGGAGTTTTTGTGTTTTGTGAGTTGCCGTGTGATGGGTCTACTGGGGAAGCTTAGTCCTGTTTTTTTTTTCAAATCATCTAAAACCAAACAATATGTATTTTAGTGATAAGAATAAAAGTTACATCGAGCTCCTTGTCCCAAAATGTCCCCCATGCGTTATTATTACTAATGTGCAAATGAGAAGACTTTTATGTATGGTATCTTTGCTTTTTAAGTTCTCATTTCATACAACCCAGCGACTCTGCTCTAATTACATAAAAACACTGGTATGGACATCTTTTCTGAACTCTAGGGTTAGGGGACTCTAATTTACCTAGAGTCTTTCTGCATTTAACTATTTCCTTTGCGTCCAACTCTTTATGCCCGAAAATGATGTAAAAAACTTTTGTCTCTCACCACCATAGTCTGCTAATTCACTGGACTGAGGAATCTTCCTCACTTATTTTCCATGACCTATGTTCATTTTCCTTCCTGTGTATTGCTTTCCATACCTACACGTGTATGGCATATCAGCCAACCATAATTTCTTCAATATGCTACTACATATAAATTTACTGGTGTTAGAGCGATAGCACAGCGGGTAGGGCATTTGCCTTGCACGCAGCCGACCTGGCCGACCCAGGTTCAATTCCTCCGCCCCTCTCGGAGAGCCCGGCAAGCTACCGAGAGTATCTCGCCCGCACGGCAGAGCCTGGCAAGCTCCCCGTGACGTATTCGAGATGCCAGACACAGTAACAACAAAGTCTCACGATGGAGACGTTACTGGGCCCGCTCGAGAAAATCGATGAACAACGGGAGGACAGTAACAGTGATAAATTTCTCAAGTCCTACTGTCATATTGGAGAAAGGGAGAATGATTTCATTTGTAAGCATAAAAAAATTCCCTTTCTCAATAAACTATTCTTCTATGCTTTTAATAAAAAAAAAAAAGTCCCCCATGGACAGATGGTACCATGGCCAGGCATGCGTGGTCCTTCCTTCCTGATCTGAAGAATGGGAACGGGCCAGCCCAGCCCCTCCCCCCCGAGCCACCTCCCTGGAATCTATATCCATCCAGTACCAGGGGTTCAGTGCGCACCCTCGCTTCAGAGTTCAAGGGATACTCCTGAAAGTGCTCAGGGGACCGTGCAGTATCAGGAATGAGAGCTGGGTTCCAGCACGCAAGGCCTGTGTCCCGCTCCTTTGAGCCACTTCCCTTGCCCCTCCAACCCTAACTTCTTTGTTTTGTTTTGTTTTGGGGTCACTCCCAGCCATGCACAAGAGTTACTCCTGGCTCTACACTCAGGAATTACCCCTGGCGGTGCTCAGGGGACCCCAGGGGATGCTGGGAATCGAACCCGGGTCGGCTGCGTGTGAGGCAAATGCCCTCCCTGCTGTGCTATTGCTCCAGCCCCCAACCTTAACCTCTTGATCTGTGGGCACGAGCCCATACTAGCCTGCATCACTGAACATGGGGGTCACACCCAGGGACCAAATATTCTCTCGAAATTGGGCTGGAGAGGCTGTACGGAGGTTCAAGTGCCTATTCGTCTTTGCACACAGCTGACACGGATGCCATCCCTGGCATCCCCTCGGGTGCCCCGATCCCTGCCAGGAGTGACAACTGAGCACAGAGGCAGGGGCAAGCAACTGAACACAGTGGCACGTGGCCCCAAACAACCGAAACCCAAACTCAAAACCAACCACGTCACGGATGTGACATCTTTCTTTGTGGCAGCACTCGGCCCTGTCACCGGTCTGGGGGGTCATGAGCTGAAGGTGTGTGAGAAGTTCCGCTCTCCAGGACACCAGCTGTCAGCAACAGCATCAGACTCCCAGGGGCCCGGCTACCTCAGCCAGGGAGGCCGCGGGGGGTGGGTGGGGGGCTGGAGCAGGGGCTAGCGGCTAGAGAGAAGCGTTTTGACTGCAAGCTCCTTCGTCCTCCTCTGCCCAGCCCTGAGACCCTGGGCTCTGAGCTGAGAAACAGAGTGCCAGCCTCCCTGCCTCCGGCCTCCAGAGGCTGCCCTGCGGCGGCTGACCCCGAGGTCGACGTCCCCGGTAGCATGCTGCTAACTACTGGTCACTTGGGGCCCGGTGACTCCTTACAGCAGGGGGCCCCATGCTCTCCCCCAGCTCTGAGACCAGACCCCGGGGGGAGGGATGGTGAGTCCCCTTGACTTCTCCCTCCGCGCTCACGAGCGCAGCCTGGCTGGCTGGTCAGAGTGGGGTGTTTACTTACGACTGAGGGACCCCTCCGATCCCAAAGCCCACCAGGCCCCGGAGCACCAGGATCCAGCTGTACACGGGCGCGAATGCACTGAGGATGCCGTAGTACAGGGTCCATAGCACGCTGATCTTCAGCCCCTGTGGAGAGAGGTCACAGGTCACGGGATCCCGCACAGCCCGGAAGCCGCGGACCCCCATGCATAGGTGTGCAGCGACCAACTGGGTCACCCCGAAAGGAAATCCACAGGGCCCAGGAGGTCAAGGGTCTCCTGGATTGGGGAGGGGGTGCTGAGATTGGGGGCTCTGGGGACATGCTGGGTCATCCAACATCTGGCCCTGGGCACTGAGGTGTCAGATGTTCCCAAGGCATGAGCCCCCGTAAGCTCTGGTCCTACTTCCCGAGACCGTCCACTCTGGACGTCCACTGATTCTACACGATGAGGGATCCCTGCCCCCGGACGTTCACTTGGCCTGGCCTAAAAGTATGAGGGCGAGCAGGGGGTGTGGGGGGCAGCATTTGAACCGACACTTCCAGGTCTCAGGAACGCAACTGACTTGCTCGTGCGTCAAAGGGAGACTGTGCTTGGTTGGATACGCCACTGGACAGCACTGTCGTTTCAGAAAGCCGTGTGTGTGTGTGTGTGTGTGTGTGTGTGTGTGTCTGTGTCACGTGGCAGGGTCACTTCTCTACCTCCTGGCATCTATGGAGTCTCTAGAAGTATCTGGGACTTGGCGCCAGAGAGAGTTCAGCACTTCGCACGCCTGCCTTGCTCCTAGCTCACCTGGGTTCGATCGCCGATACCCCATAGGATGCCCTCGCCAGGAGAGATCCCTGAGCGCAGAGTAAGTACAGCAGGGCATGACTCAAACACCCCAAAAAATAAAATACGACTTGACTGATTGGAGCCTTACATAAAAATGTCCAATATAACTGCAGAAAAGCCACCACAATATTCTATAAAATCCAAACTATTTTTGAGCTTAATCCTATACCAAGTTTCTCCCCACATGGAAAATTCCTTTTCCTTTATCTTATGCTTTTCAATAAACTTTTTTGTTAACTCTAAAAAAATAAATAAACCCAAACTATTATTATTATTATTATTATTATTGTTTCATACGCTTTCTTGTTAAGTGTGCCTCCGTGGACACCTTCCTTTCCCATGACTATAACCAATGCTGGAGTACACAGGGAAACAAAACAAAAGCGAACAGAATTACTTAAAGGGGGAGGGGGCAGAAAGAAAGACACCTTTCCCCACCAACAGAGGGATACAAAGGAGACACAGGTTCATACCCCATCACCCTGCATTGCTAATAAAATGTCCAGAATTAAGACTCAAGCTTACAGCTAGGAAAGTTTAAGAGCAATTGTTTTCCCCTAATACTTAACAGTCTGCCTAGCAGCTAGAACCCAGAGTCTCTCAAGTATTTTGCCATTGAGTATGCCTTCTTATTCAATCCGCCTCCATGGACCCCTTCTTTTCCCATTACAAAGACCAAGACTCTGCCAGCTCTGCCGATGGCCACGTTGGTCCTAAAAACGGATGCTCAGGGCTTACTACTCGGGGCTCTGCGCTCAGGAATTATTCCTGGCAGTGGTCTGGAAGACTGCACTGAAGAAGACTGCACAGCAGTGCAGTCTTCTGCCCCTGCGCCTGGGTGTTCCTTCCCGGAGCCCCTTGGAGGGGAGTGGGTTGAGCTTTCCTCCCCGCCCCGACCAGGGCTCCGGCAGCCGAAGACCTCCAGGACCAGCCACCACCATGCTGAGACCACTCTCCGCACACATGAAGGTACTGGCAGAGGGACAAAGCCACGCGGGTTCCGGGGCCGAGACCTCCAAGCCTACTCGAATTGCAGTCGAGCATCTTCCACCCAGATCCTCCAAATTCCAGTAGGCGGGGGTCACACCCACCACCTGGCCCCCTGGCGCCGTGTAATCCCATCAGCGGCCAAGACTCAGAGACTATAAAATCCAGATCCCGGACGAGAGCAGTGCAGTCTCTGCCCCCGCGCCTGGGTGTTCCTTCCCGAAGTCCATTGGAGGGGAGCGGGTTGAGCTTTCCTCCCCGCCCCGACCAGGGCTATGGCAGCCGAAGACCTCCAGGACCAGCCACCACCATGCTGAGACCACTCTCCGCACCCATGAAGGTACTGGCAGAGGGACACAGCCACGCGGGTTCCGGGGCCGAGACCTCCACGCCTACTCGAATTGGAGTCGAGCATCTTCCACCCAGATCCTCCAAATTCCAGTAGGCGGGGGTCACACCCACCACCTGGTCCCCTGGCGCCGTGTAATCCCATCAGCGGCCAAGACTCAGAGACTATAAAATCCAGATCCCGGAACATCTTATCAAAACTTTTTTTTATGACATCTTATTGTCTCATTCCTAATTTGGACAAACTTGCAGGCTATCGAATGTAGCCTGCCCGCAGGGCAGAGTCTGGCAATCTCCCCGTGGCGTACCCAATATGCCAAATACCAGTAACAATGATGGGTCTCATTCTCCTAAATAGCCTTGAATATAATCTCAGGGCTAGGATGAAAGAGACGTTACTGGGGCCTGCTCGAGGCAATCGACGAATAACAGGATGATGAAATGAAATGAAATGAAAAGTGGTCTGGAAACCAGATGGGATCCAGGGATCCAGGGATCCAGATGGGATCCTCTGTCAGCTGTATGCAAGGCAAATTTCCTCCCCTCTGTACTATCTCTTCTGGCCCTAAAATCCGAACATTTAAAATCAGAGGCAACCAGGAACCATGTCCTGTTATATCTGGGCAAAGTTGTACATAAATATTTGCACACTGAAAGTAAATCTTGCCTTATTATTATCTAATTTTTGCGGGGTGGGGGAGAAGTTGGGCCATACCTGGAAATGCTCAGGGCTTACTCCTGGCTCTGCACTCAGGGATCACTCCTGGCAGGGGATCATAGGGGATGCTGGGGTCGAACCCCGGTCAGCGGTGTGCAAGGAAAGAGCCTTATCTCTCAAGATCCCCATTATCTTGATTTTAAAAATGTCTCCTTTAAACAGTAGAGACAGGACCAAGAATATTGCTCCATGGTTGGTAGCCTGCCTCATGAGCTGGGGAGAAGGCAGCTGGACTAGAGAAGGGACCACTAAGTTAATGATGGTTGGAGGGATCGTTCAGGATGGGAGTTGTGGGCTGAAAGTAGACAAAAGACCAAACGTGATGGCCTCTCGGTATCTGTATTGCAAACCACAATGCCCCAAAGTAGAGAAAGAGAGTATGGGGGAAATTGTCTGCCATAGAGGCGTGGTGTCGGGGAGGGGTTAGGATGGAGGGAGGGATATTAGGGACACTGATGGTGGAAAATGTGCAATGGTGGAGGGATGGGTGTTCAATCATTTTATGACTGAAACTCAAACATGAAAATTTTGTAACTGTGTCTCATGGTGATTCAATAATAATAATAATAGAAACTGACAACAATAAAAAGAAAAAAGAGTCTTCTTTAGACACTTGTTGGGGTACAAGCACTGATCCCTTTTTCTCAATTACATGACTCAGTCTCTTATTTTATCTTTGAAATTACTTCGAGGTAAAGAAAGGGGCATTGGTAAATTTTCATCATTTTTTTTCTAAGTGAAAGGATTGTTGGATTTGACCAGTACTCTGAATGGAAAGATAAAGATGGTGATTGTTTCAGATGTGAAAGTTACCTTTAAGATTTAGGAAAAAATAAAGGTGAATGTCAGTTATGATCATTGTTTTTAGGGCCAGAGTGATAGTACAGCAGGCAGGGAGTTTGCCTTGCATGTGGCCGACCCGGGTTTAATCCCTGGCACCCCATATGATCTCCTGAGCCTGCTAGGAATGGCCCCTGAGCTCAGAATCAGGAGTAAGGCCTGAGCACGGCCAGATGAAGTATCTCCAAGGGGGAAAACTATTTTTAGGGGCTTGGGGATAGCTCCAAGGGATGGAGTGCAGATTTTGCAAGCCAGAACCTGGATGCAGTCACCAACGGGATTGGCCAACAGCAGACCAAGGGGACACAGGAAGCAGATTACATGGAATGTTTGCCCTGAAGCAGGAGGCTAGGCAGGCCTCTCTCTCTCCTTTCCCGTTCCCCATGGGCACACTTCAGGGCCAAGCCCAGAACAGAGCAGACCAATTTTAGCTTTGAGATCTTCACCTCAATGAGAAAGGGCTCCAGAGGATACGGATCAGATGATCTGGGGTCTTTGGGGGAAATGATCCTGGGGGTGGGGGGTTTCAAATAACCACGCATCACCCTTGAAAGAAAATCTGTTTGTTTTTGAGGTCACAGCCACAGGTGCTCAGGAGTTACTCCTGGCTCTGCGTCCATGCAAAGCAAGACAATTGTGCACACAAGGCAAGTGCCCTCCCCACTGCACGATCACCCCAGCCCCTGAATAAACTTCTTTTGGGGTGCACACACAGCAGTGTTCAGGGCTCTGTGCTCAGAGATTATTCCTGGTGGGGTTTGGGGGACCATAAGGGAGTGCTGGGGATCAAACCCAAGTGGTCCATGTGCAAGGCCAGTGCCCTACCCCACTATATTATGGCTTTGGTCGCAGAAAAAAATTTTTTTCGCTTTTTGGGTCACACCCAGCGATGTACAGAGGTTCCTCCTGGCTCTGCACTCAGGAATCACTGCTGGCAGTGCTTGGGGGACCATATGGGATGCTGGGAATTGAACTCGGGTTGGCCGCACGCAAGGCAAATGCCCTACCCGCTGTGCTATTGCTCCAGCCCCCAAAATTTCTTCTTTTTAATTTCAAACTTCACTCTTCTGGGCTCCAAAGCAGTAGTGTAGTGGGTAGGGCACTTCTCTCTGCAGGTGTTCAACCCAGGTTTGAGCCCTGATACCCCAAGTGGCCCCTCAGCCCCAGGAGAAGTGATCCTTGAGCACAGAGCCAGGAGAAAGCCCTGAGTATCCCTGGGGTGCCTCTCTCCAAAGCAAAAACAAATGAGCAAAAAATAAATAAATAAAACCCAACCCCAAACAAAACAAACGTCATTCTTCTGATGATTTCCAGCATATATTCTGACTTTCATGCCTTTTTAAAAGTATTATTATTTTAAAAATTTAATTTTCATAAAGTTGCTCACAATAATTTATTTCTTTCGAAATTTCAACACCAAT